AGTCTAGCTTGACTCAGTCAGTCAGTCAGTCAGTCTCTCTCTCTCTCTCTCTCTCTCACACACACACACACACACACACACACACACACACACACACAAACACACACACACCCCTGACCGGATCCTTCCATTCCCCACCATCCAGTCAGAGCTGAAGCAGCTTCTTGGATGAGAAGTGAAATGTCTTCAAAGAAAAACCAGGGGCCGGTGGCCTCTTGAAAAAGCACTTTGGTTGCCTAATTAGGTTCTCCTTCTCTCAAGGTCCTACAGAAGATCATTTTTTGCAGTCTTTCTAAACGTCAAAATGGAGGAGGTTATCGTGACCCCACGCTCCCTTCAGGGTGTGGGCACCAAAAGCATTTTCTCCCAGCTGGTTCTCATTGGGCAGGGAGATGTCATTGTGCCAGATATAGCAAAAAGGCAAGCCATATAGGACTATACAGGTAATCAGCATTTGAATTGAGCCTCTCAGCAACTAATACAGTTCCTACAAACCTATGAGATGGCAAACCTATGGCTCACATGCCAGAGGTGGCACGCAAAGCGGGCATGTGCGCCATCGGCAGCTGCACTTCCAGGTTCCATCGCACGTATGTGCACCAGTCAGCTGGTCTGGTGCACATGTGGCCAGCCACTCACTTCCAGGTTCTGTCACGCACATGCGCGAAGACCAGCTGGTTGGCACACATGAGCAAGACGGAACCTGGAAGTACAGCTGGCCGCCACACGCTCCTTTTTCGGCACTTGGTGTCCAAAAGGTTAGCCAACACTGATCTAAGCAATCCAATCAATCCATTGTCAGCTACAAGTTTGCCGGGTTATATCCAGGGTCAACCCCATGCAAGGCAAATTGCAACAGTCTAACACAAATATGACAAGGATGAGAGTCATTACCTTCAGTACTTCCTGGTCCAAGAAGGCTGCCACAGCTGAGAGACCTAACAGTCATTTATTAATTTATGTATTTATTTTCTGTTGCCAGGTGCACGATAAGGCCCATTTATGGCATCATTCTAGATCTCTTTTTTATCTGCCACAGTACCTCAATAAACTAACAATTATTGTTGCTGTTCTTATTTAAACAACAATTGTCACCCTAGCCTCTCATGGAAGAAGTTCTCATAGAGCCCTAAGGTTCCACAGAACAGCCTTGCCATAGGAATGAAGATTTCTTGCTCCCACATGAATTTTTCTGGCCTGGAATAGCAATAGCAGTTAGACTTATATACCGCTTCATAGGGCTTTCAGCCCTCTCTAAGCGGTTTACAGAGTCAGCATATTGCCCCCAACAATAATCCGGGTCCTGGAAGAGCTGGAGGGCAACTTGGTGAAATCCTAATACTTGTTCCAAGGGAAGCTTTTTCCATGTTTGTGGAAAGGAGGAGGAGGAGGAGAAATCCTTGAGCTTCATGGAATTTCTTGCCTGGATTACTCATTCCAACTCCATCAGTTTTCAGATGTAAAGATAAAGATTTGTCTTTCATTCCCACTTTGCTTTCCCTCCTTTAGTTGATTTTTTTAAAATTTTCATTCTTCTGGCTATCTGGTAGCATATACATTTCCAGCATATTTTATCTTGATAGCCAGCTAAATGTGATGGAACCACCAGCTGAAGGCCCCCTGCTAGAGGGAATAAAGAGAGATTCCAACTTAGAGTCTATACAGGGGAGGAAATGACTGAGGTCAAATCCTTAGGTCTATATCTATCGTTTTCCAAGAGAAGGTAGACAAGTCTGGTGACATTCTTGTAATAGAGGCAATCAACAATAAACTATTTGTTTACACTGTTAGCCCTTGGGTCACCAGGCTGCCAATCGGACGGGGAGCACACTGCACCACATCCGGAGCTGAAGCTGAGTGATGCATCCATGTACGCATGCATGCTGCACCAGGAGCCGACAGCTGGATGATGTGTCCACGCCCACATGCCGCACCAGAAACTGAGCTCGCCGGCATGTCGTCCTGCGCGCGGCACAGCTGAACGGCACAGGGCTTCACAGTGGACTTACTGGGCTGTGGGGCGGCCCTGGAGGGCCCCCTGCTGTGGGGGACTCCAGAACTGTGTGATGCCTCCCAAGGCTGGAGGGGCAGCGAGGGTTGCGCAGAGCAACAGCAGCGTGCATGGCCTGCATGCTGGACTGTAATGGCATCACCTAAGGACGCCACGTGAGGGGTGGGGAGTCATAGGGGCTGACCCAAGGGGTGGAGCCATGGGGCAGACACTGTTTAAAGGATGGAGGGATTAACCATGTTAGCACTGACTTTGCCTGTTTCCTGTTTGTCACTCTGTGACGGTTGTTACAACATTTTGGATAAAGTTTGTCAGTTAACCATCTTTGGCTCTGTCTGAATTCCTTGCTGAAAGCCGGAACGTGACATACACAAGTAGTTGCAGTTGCTCAATCCGGACATTAAAGTGCTTTTAAGTGGAAAAGCAAGATGAAGGATTTAAACTTTATAGATTGAACTAAACTCACATTTACCTACCATTGCTAACCATGCGCCTGGCTACTTCCCAGAGGACCAGTCCAAATGCCCAAATATCGACTCTTTTGTAGGAGTCAAAGCAGTCCGCCTGAATTGTTTCATCCAGGACTTCTGGGGCCATATAGCGCTTGGTGCCTACACGGGAGTTGTTCGCAACATCCAGCTGATTGGTACTTTGAGAATGCATGACGGAGAGACCTATAATCACAAAGGAAAAGAGTTATTATGAAGTGCTTCCCTTTTCTTTTAAGTTAGATCTGTAATAGGTTTAGGAAGGGGAAAAAATCTTGAAGATGTTGGCCGAGTTTACTATGTGAAATATACTTCAGAAATATAGTTAAGTGTTTACCATCCAGAAAACAGGCAGATTCCAGAGTCTGTTTTTCCAGACTGTTTCTGGAAAAACAGAAAGAGAACACCAAATGCAGCAGCAATTGAATAGCCCACAGGTACTCAGACAGAGTCACTACTGTGGAAAGAAATTTAAGCAAGCCTTGGGCTCATATACCATCGCCACCGCACACACGCCACGCCCTGATTTGGGCCTAACAAGCCTCCCTGAAAACTCCTGGGAGACAAAAAGGATGCGTGGGGACTCCTGGAAGGGGTGGGGAGGGGGCCAGCAAGTGTTTGTCGATTCTCCGAACCGGTTAAAATTTCCACTACTGGTTTGACTGAACCGGTCCAAACCGGCTGAATACCACCTCTGGTCATGTCTGACTCTGGGGCACGGTGCTCATCTCTATTTCTAGGACGAGGGAGCCAGCGATGTCCAAAGACATTTTCCATGGTCAGGTTGCCAGCATGGGCTATACGTCAAAGATGCACAGAATGCTACTAGCTTCCCACTGAAGTGGTACCTAATAATCTACTCGCATTTGCATGCTTTTGGAACTGTTAGGTGGACAGGATAACATAGTAGAAATAAGCAAATTTCAAACCACGATTGATTTAAGGTGGTTTGTTTTCAACAACCATGATGAATTTTAACTACAATTACTGATCTGTATGCAACACTTTACTATGATAAAAAGACGCAAAAAATATGACCTTACAGTAATCAGCAGGAAGGGAGAGAGTCCGTAACTTTGTCTGTTTTAATAGTCTGTTTTAAGTCTGTTTTAATAATCCTAAACCTGGCTCAACATTGCATGCTGTGATGTTATAGGCTTTAAGGAAGCTAGCACAGGGCTCTTCCAACAGTAATTATTTATTGCCACATAAAATGCTGGAAGGGAGTTCAAGGGGTTGAGGTCCAACACCCCTGGAGGAGATCAGATTGAGGAAGTCGTCTCTTGTGGCAGACTTCCATGTTCAGAAAATAGTACAAGATACACCCAGGAGCAGCAAAACTTTTGGGTGCTAAGCGCCCTCTAGTGGCTGCTGAATCTTCCTAGCTTGCTTACAGAGTGACGCCAAGGAAAGCCTGAATGACATTTCTTCAATATATACCTGGTTCATTACATAAATCATGTAGCATCTTTATAATCTTTAATCCTCTTCAAAGCCTATAAACCTTATTTTTACATATAAAGCTATCTGTTATTGTTGCATTTGCTCTTGCTTTCCTTTTTTTATCCTCCATGGATTTTAGCAATAGCAATAGCAGTTAGACTTATATACCGCTTCATAGGGCTTTCAGCCCTCTCTAAATGGTTTACAGAGTCAGGATATTGCCCCCAACAACAATCCGGGTACTCATTTTACCCACCTCGGAAGGA